TTTTGGGGTAAATTTAAACTTCATAGTTAATTTCGTAACCACTAAAAAGAGTGAAATTATGCTTAGTCCAATGGTATGGACTGCTGACTTGAAATCTGAAGGTTGTGGGTTCAATTCCAGGGTGGGAATTTTAGATTTTAAAATTTTATTATTTTTTGGGTAAATTGAAACAATATAGTTAATTTCGTAACCACTAAAAAGTGTGAAATTATGCTTAGTCCAGTGGTATGGACTACTGACTCTAAATCTGAAGGTTGTGGGTTCAAATCCAGGTTGGAAAATTTTAGATTTATTTATTTTTGGGTAAATTGAAACTTCATAGTTAATTTCGTAACACATTTAAAAATTGTGAAATTATGCTTAGTCCAATGGTATGGACTACTGACTCGAAATCTGAAGGTTCTGGGTTCAATTCCAGGGTGGAAATTTTAGATTTTAAAATTTTATTACTTTTTTGGGTAAATTAAAACAATATAGTTAATTTCGTAACCTTTAAAAATTGTGAAATTACACTTAGTCCAATGGTATGGACTACTGACTCGAAATCTGAAGGTTGTGGTTCAATTCCAGGGTGGGAATTTTAGATTTTAAAATTTTATTACTTTTTTGGGTAAATTAAAACATTATAGTTAATTTCGTAACCTTTAAAAAGTGTGAAATTAGGCTTAGTCCAATGGTATGGACTACTGACTCGAAATCTGAAGGTTGTGGGTTCAATTCCAGGGGGGGAATTTTAGATTTTAAAATTTAGTTCTTTTTGGGTAAATTTAAACTTGATAGTTAATTTTGTAACCACTAAAAAGTGTGAAATTATGCTTAGTCCAATGGTACGGACGGCTGACTTGAAATCTGAAGGTTGTGGGTTCAAATCCAGGGGTGGAGTTTTGGTTTTTGAAATTTTATGTCTTTTGGGTAAATTTAACTTCATAGTTAATTTCGTAACCACTAAAAAGTGTGAAATTATGCTTAGTCCAATGGTATGGACTGCTGACTTGAAATCTGAAGGTTGTGGGTTCAATTCGAGGGTGGGAATTTTAGATTTTAAAATTGTATTATTTTTTGGGTAAATTGAAACAATATAGTTTATTTCGTAACCGCTAAAAAGTGTGAAATTATGCTTAGTCCAGTGGTATGGACTACTGACTCTAAATCTGAAGGTTGTGGGTTCAAATCCAGGGTGGAAATTTTAGATTTTAAAATTTTATGTCTTTTTGGGTAAATTTAAACTTCATAGTTAATTTCGTAACCACTAAAAAGTGTGAAATTATGCTTAGTCCAATGGTATGGACTGCCGACTCTAAATCTGAAGGTTGCGGGTTCAAATCCAGGTTGGAAATTTTAGATTTTAAGATTTTATATATTTTTGGGTAAATTGAAACTTCATAGTTAATTTCGTAACATTTAAAAATTGTGAAATTACACTTAGTCCAATGGTATGGACTACTGACTCAAAATCTGAAGGTTGTGGGTTCAATTCCAGGGTGGGAATTTTAGATTTTAAAATTTTGTTACTTTTTGGGTAAATTAAAACATTATAGTTAATTTCGTAACCTTTAAAGTGTGTGAAATTAGGCTTAGTCCAATGGTATGGACTACGACTCGAAATCTGAAGGTTGCGGGTTCAATTCCAGGGGGGGAATTTTAGATTTTAAAATTTTTTCTTTTTGGGTAAATTTAAACATTATAGTTAATTTCGTAACCATTAAAAAAGTGTGAAATTATGCTAAGTCCAATGGTATGGACTACTGACTCTAAATCTGAAGGTTGTGGGTTCAAATCCAGGGTGGAATTTTAGATTTTAAAATTTTGTTACTTTTTGGGTAAATTAAAACATTATAGTTAATTTCGTAACCCTTTACAAGTGTGAAATTAGGCTTAGTCCAATGGTATGTACTATCGACTCGAAATCTGAAGGTTGCGGGTTCAATTCCAGGGGGGGAATTTTAGATTTTAAAATTTATTTCTTTTTGGGTAAATTTAAACATTATAGTTAATTTCGTAACCACTGAAAAAGTGTAAATTATGCTTAGTCCAATGGTATGGACTACCGACTCTAAATCTGAAGGTTGCGGGTTCAATTCCAGGGGGGGAATTTTAGATTTTAAAATTTTATTTCTTTTTGGGTAAATTTAAACTTGATAGTTAATTTCGTAACCACTAAAAAGTGTGAAATTATGCTTAGTCCAATGGTATGGATTGCTGACTCGAAATCTGAAGGTTGTGGGTTCAAATCCAGGGTGGGAATTTTAGATTTTAAAATTTATTACTTTTTGGGTAAATTAAAACATTATAGTTAATTTCGTAACCTTTAAAAAGTGTAAAATTATGCTTAGTCCAATGGTACGGACTGCTGACTCAAAATCTGAAGGTTGTGGGTTCAAATCCAGGGTGGAAATTTTAGATTTTCAAATTTTATTACTTTTTGGGTAAATTAAAACTTCATAGTTAATTTCGTAACCTGTAAAAAGTGTGAAATTATGCTAAGTCCAATGGTATGGACTGCTGACTCGAAATCTGAAGGTTGTGGTTCAAATCTAGGAAGGGAATTAAAGATTTTAAAATTTTATTTCTTTTTGGGTAAATTGAAACTTTATAGTTAATTTTTTAACCAATAAAAACAGTGGAATTATGCTAAGTACAATGGTACGGACTGCTGACTTTAAATTTTAAGGTTGTGGGTTCAAATCCAGGGTGGAAATTTTAGATTTTAAAATTTTATTTCTTTTGGGTAAATTGAAACTTGATAGTTAATTCCGTAACCACTAAAAAGCATGAAATTATGCTTAGTGCAGTGGTTCAGACTGCTGACTCTAAATCAAAAGGTTGCAGGTTCATTCCCACGCTGGGAATTTTAGATTTCAAAATTTTACTACTTTTTAGGTCAATTGAAACTCTACAGTTAATTTTGTAACCACAAAATAGTGTGAAGTTGTGCTTAATCAAGTAATACGGACTGATGACCCTAAATCTGAACTTCTGAAGGTTGCTGGTTCAAGTCGCACAGTTGGAGTTTTAGATTTTAAAATTTTATTAATTTTGAGGTCAATTGAAATTTATATTTTTTTCAAGTTTGAAACCAGTCCACACTTCTAGTCTAGCAAAAGCCAAAAAGTAAAAAAGCAAATACTTTTAGCTTGAAGCAAATAGTGAAAGCATTTGCTCTCATTTTTATTCATGCAAATAAAAGTTATGCTTAAAAATATGTAGTAAAAAAAAAAGCAAATGCTAATTTTTATACATACGACCAAATGTTTCAATGTTAATCATAATTGCATCGTTTATGTTTTCAGTAATAGATTTGAGGACCTACATGGATCTGTTTGGGCCTACAACGACGCCCATTCACTGAGCGGATTCGGGATTGCCCATCGAGAACTCGAAAAGATAGGAGAGACCAAGGCCAGTTGCTTTGGTAAAATTTTTCATTCAGGTAAGACAAACTTCCATGAAGACTCAACTCATTAGTTCAAGTCCCCCCCCCCCCCCAAACTAAGCCCTAAGACAACACTGAGTGTACACTGTTTACAAAATATGTCCGGTTTTATTTAGTTAAGTGGCTTTCAGGCTGTTAGTTCTCCCACATTTTAATGGTGGTCCCTCATTTGGCATGCTGTTGGAAAGAACCAATTTTCAACTTTTGTTCTTGTGAAAATCCTGTTGCGTGACATCACAGCCTGTGTGTGATGTGAATGAGTTCTACCTGATTGATAAACGTGACCCGACTCAGAGGTGGCATGTCTTGGTGACAGTCCCTCGCTTGTCAGTTGGTACAGAATGTCATTTGGTGACAAGTGAACGTCCTTATCCAAAGTCAAGGAGTCATGTCCCACAGTATCTCCGGGGTTATCCACGATGTTGCCGAGCGGCTCCGAATCCTCCTCAGACGTTATCGTCATGACGACTGTCTGCTCCATGTTCCCAAGGGTGCCCTCCGAGGACGACATCATGGCCATGTGTGAGATGTCCTGTGATTGGTCAGCCAGGTCTGGTACCAAGACTGTAGATTCAGCTGCAGATTCCTCGGGGGCTGATTTGGATAATGCGCAGGCCTGAGTGTACAGTCGTAGCTGTGCTAGATGGTGGTGCAGCAGCTGGGTGTGCTCCTCAGACATGTGTTGCAGTAACTCTTGCAAAATGGACTGGTTCTCGCTGTCGTTGGTCAGACGTTTCAAACTGGACGTGTGAATCATGGACAGCTGCTGCTTGAGTGACATGTTTGTGTTGGACAAATACTCAACCTGGAGGGCAAGACGGATGGGCAGAGAAATTATTTGTTTACAGATGGAATTTTAATAGACCAATCCATTAGGCTCTGCCCCATGATGTGTAACCAATCACAACCATGACATGACAGCGCACACCAAAGTCTGACATTTATGCACTTCATGATGTGTGCAGTTGGAGCATGAATGCTTAAGAAGGCACATGTGTTGTTACCCAGTTATTTAGTGCAACTAGAGTTTGAGTGAAACCACGAATCCTCTACACAAGGATAAACGACACATCTGAGCTTGTGTACAAAATGTGTGCAACGGTTTGTCTGCATTTATCATAAGCAGCGTCAGCGCAAAAAACAACGTAGAACGTGTAGAAAATGTAGAGCAATGACAACAACAGTGCACACCATGATAGCCCACAGCCATGACAGCTGGCATCCTGACAGAAATCTGACCACTGAAAGAACGCAGTCGCATTAGTGTGCCTGCATTAGTTTTGATCAAGGTATGTCCCCCCTCCCACTTTTGAGAAGCGATTGACGCCCTTGGTACCTGTTGCATGCAGGGAACAAGATCCAAACTCATTCTTAGACCAAGACCAGATGGAATGCCCACTCACCTTTGTACGAAGCCTTTCTATAGTGCCTTTCATTCTGTGCTCTGTCTGGGCCCACGTGGTCCGCTCCTCCTCAAGAGTCTTCTCCAGACTTTCCTTCTCCTGCAGCAGCAGCGACAAGTTGTGCTCTGTGTAGCAAGTCTCGTCCTCCAAATCCTCTTTGCTTCCTTGTCTGGTATCTCAATAAGGACAACTGTTTACGAGAGGGAAAGGTTGAGTAATTATCCTGGATAATGATTCCTGTAATAATGAAAGTCGGTCATCAAAAGGTCACTCCAGGTGTGGGCTACACAAAGAGGGGAAATGATGGGAGGAGTTTATGGAGTAGAAAGGTCGACATATATGTTGCGCTTGAATGGGACAGATGATATGTAGCGGTAAAAACAGGATACAGGCAAGAAAGTCCAAAGTGATGCAGTGTGTCAAGAACATGTAATTCCTTGTAACTGGGTGCAAGCAATCACTCACTTTTTCAAACCGTATTCCTAACATTAGGTGGGCAAGGTGAAGGACAAATGCCAATATTTCATTAATTGTTGAAGTCAGCTCTCAAAATGTACTGCCACCCTGACTTATTAGATTTTTTTTTTTCCTGAATCCTCCAAAATTCAATCAACTTAAATAACGCCAATGGCACACCCTTTGCACCTTGTAATTTCAATTTGTAAAATCCACTGTCAATATTGGCCCTCATCCACCCCAACCCCCTAAAAAAATGCTGAACTTTTGGTTGTTGTTTTATTTTTTTATTGACCAAACAAGTGCAGGAGTGAAGACAACTGTATTAAACATGCTGTTGTCTACCCATTCCCTTCTTCCATATGGATTCACGATATATCAATTGAAAACAAAGTGGGGGGTGGGGGGGGGGGGGGGATGGGGGGGGGGAAGAGTTCTTCCTTGCATCAAATGCCTGCCCTTGGCTTTTTGGTCAGCTTCTTCTAATTATCCTTCACTGCTGGTGCATTATCCACCTTAACCTCTGCGTAGATGCTGAAGGATTCTTGGAGGGTCAGGGTTAATATTCTTACCATCTTACCTTCCCCATTGGCAGTGCTCTGGCTCGGATCATTGATGCAGGCATACTGGTACTCGATTTGCGGCTGCTGCCCATCAGTCTGCTCATAGCCCGGGGATGATGTGTCTGTCTCCGATGGCTGCTGTGACTGGGGGACTATGAGGTGTGTTACCAGGCTGGCACTGTTGGGTGCTGGGTCAGTGTATGTGGTGAAGATCTAGTTGACATACTGGGTAAAATGGTGAAGTGAAGTGGTTGAGGATGATAAAATGAGACAAAACCTGCAGGGTTGCAAAAGATTCAATTACACCGCAAATGTACAAGGAAAAATTAAAGTTCAAACTTAATTATTTTAAAAGACCCTAAGTGTTGGCATTTGATAAAATCCACCAAAATCCTTGTAAACCACCATACCTGCTCACAAGGTACATCAATTTCAACTGATTAAATTTATTTCATTGTTTCAAGGGGGACCATTACATTACAGCAACGGCATACTCAGTTGTCTTGAAACAGCACTGAAACTGCGAAGGTTAAAAAAATAAGTGCATTTTCAAACAGTTTGAGCCAAAAAGGTGTCTCTAATCATTCACAAAAGAATAAATACTTGAGTCAAATGTTTGATTGTGAAATTTATTTCAGAGAGTCTTTAAAGCTATAAATAAGTCCAATGAGCTCCAGAATTCAAGCATCATCAGAATTTACAACATTTTCTGAGTGAACCATGGTAGTTTACCCACCTGTGCCAATGTTTAATAGCTTATCACTGTTGATGCACTTTAAAGGGAATAAAAGTATGCTTGGAAGGTCTTAATCACTCTGTTTAAAACCGCTTGAGTCGAAGGCGATGGTATTTATCAGGACCCAGACTCCAAGCGGTCTTAAACTTAAATACCGACCAAGCACATATTTATTCCCATTCATAAATACCTATTCGGTCAAAAAAATCCAAACCTTTTGGTAAAAAAACCTGATTTTGCTCAACAAGTTCACTTCATGTTTTTTTAACACCCTCTATAGCTAAATAATGGAGTGTCCAGCTCGCGAGTAAGATGTTAACATCTCCTTTTTTGGAGATAGGCACACGCGTCGCACATACTGCGCGATGTCATGCAAAACGCACCTGGGGCGTTGCGTTGTGATTTTAGGACTATGAAATACTGACTCACTGGTAGCATTGCGCATGCCTACGTGAGGACCAAATAAAATGGAAAGAGGCACTGGATTTCATAGGAGCCAAAATTTAAAGTGAGACTGGAAAAGAGTTCAAGACCAGCCAGCCATGTCTTTATCATCGTTTAAGACCGGCCACATAGCAGCTTCTCGACCAATAGGAATGGATAAACTGCCATAGGTATTTATGAATTGTGGTTTACATGTATTGTACGTGCAGTCTGATGTGCCCACTGGGATAAAATGAAGTACATGATTGTAAAATTGACCATGACATACTGTACCCGAGTAATAACTATCTGTATTGTGGTCTCTGGATTACGGAAGTGTTGCTGGTAGTGCTTCATAGCCTTGTCCCTCCTGCTGAAACCCGTTGTGACAGTGGTAGCAGTGCGAGTGGGCACCCTTGAAGTATTTCTACTCGTGAATGATGCCGTGGACGATGCAGGATCTACATCACCGCAATATTTTAAGACCTGGGGAGGGATACAGTAGAGGATTGGTTTGGCAATTTTGACAAAAGCTGACAGCTATATGCACTTTGACAAAACATGAACAGTGGATCTTTTTATATGGTTCTCTTGCTGTAACAGGCACAAGTAAGCTATTGACCTGAGTTAGGACTCTTGTTCAGGCAGGCCGGATGCAAAGTTTTTCCTGAGACACAGCCGGCGCTTGGGCATGGCCTGTGACAACTGAGTCTATCAAACACTGGTATCTGCTATAAAGAATAACCAGCCCAGGTATCTGTCAATTTCATAAAACTTCAACAAATGCCACTATCTTGTCCTGCTGTCCACTGCCTTCAACTTATCTTAATTAACCCCTCTGCCACATGCAGCACAGTGCATCAGGTGGAAAAGTCTGGTGCACTTTGCTGCATTTCAGCTATCAACACCAGTGCATTAACAGCCAAGTTCTGAAACAATGAGAGCTAATCCCATTGAACAATGCCTCAGTTGTATCCTGCTGCGTTCGAGGACCACAGACTCAGAGGCAATTTGGCCTTCAGACTTTTGACCTGATGGATCTTGCTGCACTCGGCAGCTTGTCACTTAGACAAGTGTTGCATTCAACTCACATGGACCTTAAAAGTCATCTTGTAGCATGACCTGTGAAGAGAAAGTGAAAAACATTGTCCTTTGGCTTAACCTAAAACATATTTCTTGGGATCCAGTCACATGTATGCAAGCGCTTGGTCTTGTTCCCAAATGCAAACTCACCCCCAAAGTTGATGCCTTTATCCACGTGCTTGACCCTGTAGTGCGCCTTGAGGAGAATCTCATCAGTGAGAGACTGTCCTGGGAGCAGAATGGACAGTGCAGATGCGGAGCCTTCATCAAGGAGTGGCTACACTCCCTGTCTGTGCATTGTATGGGTGTCCAGTCTGCCTCGGCGCCTTTCATCCGCACTGATGGATGCGCCTATAGTTGCGAAAAAAAAACATGAGAAAAACTGTCAAGTAAACATGTATGATGTAAAAAAAAAAAAATGTGAATGTATAAAACGGCTACGTCAATAAAATCAGTAGAAAATCTCATTTTCTACTCAAATCCAAATCTTCAAAGCAGTTTTCAACAAGGACAGCAAGGAGGTTCGGATGCGGTTAGGTATGGGCAGATCCACTCTCGGCAGTGCAAGTATCTGCGCTCTCCCCGCGTCAGCCTTGAGGTAAAGGTACAGCTTGCTCGGGCCCTAGTCATATCAAGGGTACTGTATGGTGCCACCACCCTGTCGTTGAAGGCAGCTGGCGTCAAACGCCTAGACAGTTTTGGCCGAACCATTTGGCGTCACCTGCTCAACATCAAGTGGCAAGATCATGTGACAAATGAAAGACTGATAGAGATGATCGTCGACCGGTGTGCTTCAGCAGTAGCACTGTGATGGAACGAAAGGCAGCATGGTTGGGCCATGTGGTCCGGCATGGCGGCATGGCGGCAGCTGTTGTGGATGGGATGTCAGTGGGATGTCGTCACTCCGTGGGCCGGCCAAAAGATGCGCTGGGTGGACAACATCCCTGAATGGTCTGGGTGTGACACCAACGAACTGAAAGCAGCAGCACTGGAAAGAGGGGCTGTGGTGGGAGCGGTCGCAGTGTGATCCCAACTGTGTATAATTTGAAGCGGAGACCACGGGCAAATGCCTATGTCTAAAATATGAATGAATGAATAAGTTTTCAAAGTGGTAGTTCATAAAAAACCAGGCATAAAACATTTAACAAAAAGAAACCACTCGCAGATGGGATCTCTTTTGAGGCGTTGGAAGAGGTTTTAGAAGGCTTTCGTTGGGAGCCAAAACACAGTCACTCGGAAAGAATGTTGCAACCTGACGCTACTTCAGCGGTTTTGTACAAAGTCTATGGAGAGTCAAACAAAATTCAGTATTTCCTAACAAAATTGGAAATGTTTCTCAGTCCCAGATCATGTTTTATCATTTTTGCAATGACTGACCTTCATTGAGATGATATATGAGGGAAAAAGCAGCATCAGGTTGCAACATTCTTTCCAACACCTCTGATTCTGAACCAACACAACGAAAGTGATGTAGAATAGTAGGGAGTACTGAGTACTACCCTAGCAGTCACTCCTAGAACTATGATGCTCCGCATAGCGAAGCCTCATGGACAGAGAACTCGCAAAATTGTTGGCTACTACAACACACCAACTAAGTACAAAAACGTTCATCAAAACATAGACATTTTCTACAGAACCGCTGCACAATTTGCCCATAAACTCCATACAATACCTCATGACATACGCACGTAAGTTGCGCCTAACAAACATCGCTGGATTTCTGTCGATTTTTAGGCCATAATGATGAAAAAATATGCCTTTCCGCACTGAGCCAACCTGACTCTTGAAACGTGTACGCAGATTTGATCGATTGATGATTTTCTGTTCGCTCGGAGCACGCCGCAAGCAAATGATACGCTCATGCGTACAAGTGCAAGTACCGCTCCCCGCAGCGTGCTCCGAGCGAACCGAAAATCAGTGATCGATCATTATCTTTGTTGCACGTCTCTAGTGTCAGGTTGGCTCAGTGCAGAATTAAGGGCATATTTTCATCATTTTGGCCTAAAAACCGAAGAATCCACGATGTTTGTTAGGCGCAACTACATGAGTATCCTCGACTCACCATAATTGAGGCAGATAGCGCGTATTGTCCAACGGAAATTGAATGCGAGTGCGTCAAAACATATCCTGGTCGTTTTTGGTGGGACTGACGATATGTCATAGGGATTGTGCTGCAAAAACCATTTTGTGGGGTTCTGTGTCTATGCGGCTCCGCTCACGCGGAGCATCATAGTTCTAGGAGTAACCGAATACCGTAGCAGCAG